ATAGCAAATAATTAATAATAATTAATGATTAATAAATAACAATAATGAGATTATGAATTATTTAAAGATTTTTTTCATCTATATCAAATAATAATAGTTTAAAATTTCATCTGATAATTATCGAATGAAAATTTTTCATCCATATCAAATCATAATAATTTTTAAAATTTCATCTAATAATTAAAGAATTTACGAAGAAGCAAACCTGATTTGAATGCAAATAACTGATAGCATTTGCAAGTCGTAACATTACAGCAGCAGCTTCTCTTTCCGAGAAATGCTTTAATGTCATAATTCGATTCAATAATTCACCACCTTTGCATAACTCTTCCACCAAATAGACATTTGTACTATCCTCATAAACGGCATACAATTTGACAACATTTGGATGATGTGAGTAACGCCTTAGAATGTCAACTTCCTCCGTTGCATCTCGCCTGCTTTTGTCAATTATCCAAAAAAAAAGAAAAAAAAAAAGAAGAAAATGATTTTTCACTTTTCATTTTAAATGTTTTTTTTTTCTAAATCAGTTTGAATGCAATAAATTTTATTCTCGATTTTCATTCCATAACTTATTTATAATATTTATATGTGATATTAATGTATAATATACAAATTATAGATGTATTTTAAACAATTACACTTAGGATCTAATAATTTATTTGGATATAGATTGAGTTATAAATTCAAAACAAGTTCGAATGAATTATTCTAATTTCATAAATACGAATGAGCCAATGATGATTTCCACGAATAATTTATTGTAAAATTTTTTCTTGCAACTTAATATTAAATGTAATATTGCTATATAAAACTTACACTTAAATTTAATATGAATTTCAAATTGAATAAAAGAAATTTAAAAAAAAATGAGAGAAGTGAAAATATACCTTCACAGCAAATTCAGCACCAGATTTTCTATGTACACATTTCTTACACTCTGAAAATGAGCCAACTCCAAGATTCTGCAAAAATATTTGGTAATTTTATTAATTGCTTTTAGATTAGGCCATTTTATTTTTTATTTTTTATGATATTCCATAATTGAAATATCCA